TCAAGATCTTTCAGTTTTCAAAAACATTACCATGCCTTACCATTGCTTTACCAGGTTTTGGGAGATTTTAAAAGCTTTTCTTTAGGTGATTTGCAGAGTTATCCATTCTTTGAGGGGCCTTATCATTCATTAAGAGACTGAGGCGTGTAATTAAAAGGGAGAAAGCAGAGGAGATATCGAGGAAAAGTGAGTTTAACACAAAATCCCCGCATTGGCAGACTTGAACATGATCTGAGTGTAATACCCCGCTGATGTCATTTTCACAGCCTCTTGTCACTAAGCAGATTCACACACGCACATACACACAGACACAGCAGGACTGGCACTACGAGTAAAGTGAGAAGCCCTGTGGAATCTCTCTCCTCTCTCGTTTTTCTGAATAAAGCAAGTCTGGAGTAATAATTTGTCAGCACTCTTCAGACACTTCAGAACATATTGTGCCTCCCATGGCCGATGGAATACCACCTCAAGATATAGACTCTTAACAGTCTATATCTGAGGCACCTTGTAGGCAACCTCAGTTTACTAATGTTCTTGCTAACCCTCAAGACAAGGCTGTGTGCAAAACTAAACAATCTGACACGATTTTTTTTTGTAGATGGACAACACTGCTGTATCTAAAACCTATGCACCGCCACCACATAAAACAAGAACCAAAACGAGCAACAGTTCAGGCCTTCTTCTTGTGTTTAACGCTTACACTAGCTTGGTAGGAACCAAAGAACGGACCAATTGAGCTCGATAAGAGGGAAAGAGAACTTACCTTAGCACTTGCTAATGGGATACTCTTATCTGTACCAGCTATTAAAGGACGTATTACTAAAGTCTCTGAGCATAAAAAAGCACTCATTTGTTCACTCAATCTCCACCATCCATCATCTGCTCTGTGCCATCTGTTTCATCGATCAACCAACAGGCAGACAGATCCCTCTTCAAGGTCTCGTTCTCTGTGGAAGTGGCATGATAATACACTGCCGGAAGCTTCAGTATGTTCCTTACCTCTTTCCCAGACAGGTAGTAGGCGGACAGCAGACCTCCAACGAACCGGATGTTCACCTCAAACACAGACACTTCGGCGTTCTGCAACAGGTACAGAGAAAAGAAATATGAGATGATTAAAAAAACTAAATACAACTCATGAATATGAATAAAGCACAAACTCATCTGTTGAAGTGATTTGAGGAAGTGGCTAAACTAGAAAAATGTCTTTAAATAATGCGTATGGATGTGTAGATAATGCATATGTATGTGTTAAGGGTGTATTGAGCTATGGATACCTATTTTGCATGAGTTAGCGTGCTAACATTGGCATTTAGCTCAAAGCACCACTGTGCCAAAGCCTCACTAGCATAACTGCAGATATTGAAAGATATTTGCTTCTATATGTGCAGTTTTTTAGTCATTCTGTCTTTTGATTCAGCAGCAGATTTTTTTAAAGGCTTTTTGAATAATCTTCTGATAAAATGCAGGCACACTCACTCCAATCGGGCACAGAACAGAGGAGGGCTTCACAACGCCTCAAAAGTTACAAAAGAAATCCTTCGATACCAAACATTGCCTTAAATGGCAGTGATAAAATGTGTTGCATCTAAAAATACAATGCCTCTATTTCTAGACAGTTTTGGCAGAGAAAATGGGACAAACAATAACAAAAATTGGAAGTCTGTAAAGCCATTTGTCTCGGCAGCAGAACAATGAAGCTTCATCTCTCGCTCCCGCTCTCTTCACGTCTTTATGAACAGATTCCTGAGTCAGATGAAGTTTTTGTGCTTGACTGACAGCTCTCATAAGTCACTGCTGTCAACCAGAGATAGGACAATAGACTCTGTCCTGTGGAAAAAACAAATTATATGCCAGACAAAATGCGTCCCGTCATTTCCCCCCCCCCAAGTCTGAATGACTGATTGAGTAGTTAGATTGTGTAGCTAATTCGTCCTAATTAAAATTGAATTATTTCCTCCACAACACACAGGCATTGGAAATGCAAAAGGGCAATATTATATCTTCCTGCTGCCTGCTGTCTATTAGCAGTGCAGTTTAAATAAGCTAGAAACATAATGTCCTATATTTGAATGAATAAACAGCTGCATTTGAGCAGTTCTGAATAAGTCACTTATTCAAGAGAATAACATTTACAGCAGTTTTCCTGCAGTATCTTGTGTGACAGCCTTTAGTAGCCATCGCTGCCGTTAACTGTTAACAGTGACCCTCTGAGTCAGCAGTTGTGTGACGTTATCTCATTCCTGCAAGAGGAACTGACAGAGTTGGCAGGCGAGGAGTCAAGCCTCCTGATGTTGCAACATTAAAGCCATTAGCAGAGCGCACATGAAACCGACAAAGAATGGCCTTTTCCTGAGAGAGAACTAATTAAGGGTTGTAGCAAGATGAGTGGATGAGATAATGGCCGAAGTAGCCCTCTTTAGATCAAAGTGTATCTTGTGATTATTTTTGTGAATGGCTAGCTGTTATGTTGTCACTGGATAACCTGCACTACTGTTTTCAGAGCTTTCAATGACAAAAAAACTATACCTATGGTTTTCTCATTACAGGAAATGTTGAGTTTCCTTTTTCCCATCACGCTCTTTATAGCTTATGATTGTAAGTTGTGTTCCAGAGCGTTTGAGTTCTGACAGAGGAAGTCTCCTGAGTGCTATAAACCCTGTACTCATGCTCTCTCTCTTTAAATAGATTTAAAAGTGTTGCTTAGCTGCTTGTGTGGAAATAAATGGCAGTGACCTGTGTGGCTCCTGCAGTGGGACTCTGGGTGAGGTGTTGCAGCTATGGTCATATTTTCTCAGGTTTTGTGATGCAGGCTAAACGTTATTTCAGTCATTGTGATGCGGAAGTCAACATAAAAACTAAATTATTTTAGTTAATGTCATTATTCAAAAAGCAGCACCATCAAATCTTAATGGCTGAATCAAATTGGCTTTGAATTGCAGTGTATCGTATTGTTGTTGCATCCGATCGTAGACTGTGTATCTACATATGTATCGAATCGTCTGAGAGAGAGTTACACACCCTTTTTAGTAACAAAACAATGTCTTCTTTAATCAGAAACTGGGCAAGTATGTAGGGAAACCAACTGGTGCTAAAGAACAAGTAAGTGTTTTAGAAAAGATTGCACACGGAGTAGTGCTGGCTAAATTTCCCCTGGCTCATATGGCACTGGCTGAGTTAACAGGTGCCAGATCAATTCAATTAAATTTACTAAAATCTAGTAAAACTACTCCCTACATCATATTTTTGCACCTTAATTTGCACAATTTACTCCTTAGCCAGCAGCTCTTGTGGCACACAAAGGGTACGAACCATTTATCTTTAGCCCACAGTCCCTGAGAAAAACAGTTTACACAGCACTTACAAGGAGCACAGAAATATGGCAGAAATGTTTCTTCCACTGGCCACTGCTGTAGATTTACTGTGTGTTACTGTGCTGACAATTCAAAGCCACCAGAACTCTTGTACTTTGCTTCGGGACACTCGTATTGATGTAGACGTGTTGCATAAGGGCTTCAAGTATATCTGGATTCACTCCTTTTTTGTCCATCTGTCTGCTTGGCTGAGTGTCCAGAGACAAACACTCCTGGCTACTGTCCTCACTTCTGTGTTCATAAGTCTCAAACAATCTTCCTTATTGCTTCAACAAACCTTTGTCTTTCTCCCTCTTCTGTGTCTCAGAAGTTATCTGAAACCTCAAGGTGGAGCGTGCCTTCACTTTAAAGGCTCGTATACGCTGTGGCAATGTTTTCAATATCCTCAGAGAATGTAATTTAAAGACTTACTTTCCTGGGTTATTTTACTCGAGTCGCAAAAAGTTTATCGTTGCTCCTGAGACATAACATCAGCCCCCGTTTTGTGATTCCATGTCATTTATCATGCATCATCTTTCCGAAGTAAATGAGGAGAAATGTTTAAATCTAGTAACATTAGCTAACCTAAATAGATTTAAATCATTTCCAACCCCTCCCATGGTGGTTTCACAATACCCGCCTTCCCATTAAAAAGCACTTATTTCTAAGCATATGCAGAAAGTATCAAAGGTAGCTTTACGTCTCAACAATGTGCTACTGCGGCAGATCAGAAAACAATGGGCCTCCTGCTGTGACAATGCTGTTTGAGTGACGGGACGACTGCTGGCAAATACTGAAAATAAGGCAGGATTATGCACCGGGGATTGCTGTGGCACTGGAAAGTCAGGTGTGGCAAACCTCCAGAAGTGAATGAGCTGAAACACTGAACATCCACAGTTTTGGACACAGTACAGCGAGGAGGATTAAAGCTGATCTTTAGGGATAACTGATTGATTGGTCTTTGGTCCTGAGATACCTAAACTGATGTCTGCAAACAGTCTGCAGTCACGACTACAATAAAGGTTCCTGCTTAATGAGGAGCTCTTAACGGGGATATTATAATGAGGATGCTTCTACAATAAAGGCAGACATCAAAGGCAAGGGGCAAAGTGTGTGTGTTTTACTCACAGACATATCTACATGTTCCCCATGTCATTAAGCTAATCACCGAAAGCACCACAGTCCTTCAGAAATGAGCGCTGAGAAACATACAGTCTGTATATACCCGTGACGCCTTTTTTAAAAGCAGATTCTATGTAAGAGTGGAATATTTTATTTAGAAAATATCAATTCTCATATTTACGACAAGCTCTTCGATAATAAAAGCTAAAAATATTCAATCTGAAGAATCTGTAACAACCCTGTTATCTTGGAATCACGTTAACCTACATTTTGCTAAGAAACACAAATCTATAGGATCCTAGACAGGCATCTCATCTGCCTGAATTTCCACATATCGACTTTTTTTTGTAGGGTATACAAGACTTAAGCCATGGTGACAGGTTTAGGGTTTTGGAATGAATGGAAAGATGTGGGCTCCCCCTTATCCCCTTGTTCCAGATAAATCTGTATGCTGGAGAGCTTTTTCATGTAAAGCCATGTGAGGATATTCACAATTATCAGGTTAATACAAATTCACCACCATAAATTAAGCTAATGAATTAATTCACGGGGTAAGCGATAATATTGTATATCGTCCTATCCCTAACAGACAATACCTGCTATTTAACCTCGCTGTTTTGTCTTGTTAACAACCGACTGTCAGATGCGGGACAGGCGAGGCATCACGCATAAACAAACGTGTAGTTAAAAGCAACAATATCTCCGGTCTTCAGCGTCAAACTCAAAACAATCGTAGAAAAATAAATTAAAAAACACCAGAACAACAAGAAAGAACAAAAGGGAGCGAGCTGACAACACAGGAAGAGTTCGATTCCTTCCCACTTATCCATCCAGCAGTGTTTGACTATGTTTTACTGTCTGTGTGTGCTCGCACTAAGAAGTAAACAGTAATAGACTTGTGTATGGATCCGCTGGACCCGTTTTTGGCTCTTTGCCGCTGGGTTTTATTGATAACAGCGTGGACAAGGAATCGCAGTCAATACACTCATTTCCTGTCCACACACACACTTTTGTGACTCCTGTGGTCTTGTGCAATGTCATCAAAATGAATCGATTTCGGGATTCATAAATTCATTATTTACACGTGTTTTTTGTGGAACTGACACATTTCCAGGATATTCAGAGTCTGTTTTAAGCATCTCAGAAAAATAGTTTCAATACTTTTTATAACACATTAAGTGCACTGTGATCTATTACCAGCAGAGCCCATTAGAAGACTGCATAACTGTTTCTTACCATGCAATCACCCAGGCATTGGAGAATTGCTTTAGGTTTTATATCATGTCATTAAGGATACATTTACTACATAAAATATTAAACACCCAGCAATTTTGAGCTTATTATGTTTATTATATTATGTCTTGATTATACTAATCAACATGTGTTTATAATGCCTTAGTTAGTGCTTAGTACGCTGAAGGAAACAATTATCTGATTAATGTTTGGTCTCTGGACTCCTTGATATTAAATTTTGTTTTATAAACTACATATTAGATGTCATATTTTCTCGTTTTAATATGTTTTCTTGTTTTATCATATTCACATGTTGCTGTGAGTTCAGTCAGTGCACACATCGATGACTCATCTTAGACAGGCGAGTGACTAAGTGCATCAACATCAAGGCCTTTTTCCATCCTATTGCTGATCGTAAACAACACACACACACTATATATATAT